AAATCCTCGACGGGTAGCCGACGAATCGGGTTTACGGACTACTTGATTTTTCCTCAATGGTCCTGCCGCGATGGCTAGAGCACAGACGATTAGAGGACCTAGGACTAAGCATTGGAGAGGATGGAGGGACCCGCGAGAGAGCGCAGAGGAGGTTTAAAGGGCTGAGTTCAAGTAGTCCGTCGACCCATTTCGCACGATGACGAGATCATTGGTTTTGCCGTCGATATAATATATGTATATGGTAAGTACACAAAGTGTAAAAAGCAATATAGGCTGGCTAGACTGACCTTAACAGCGAACCCGCTCGAAACAAAAGGACTTTATTTGAAGTGAAACACCTTCCCCAATGTAAGCCAATGTGAAGCATCAAACACGTCACTATAGAGGAGATCGTAACGAAACTACCGCATATATCGCAACAAGACCGGAGAAAAACAAGAAACTGCGCAGACGCAGATGAGTGGAATGGAATCATTGTGAATTTCACCGGTATGTCCTTGTAAATAGAAAGTTTTCAACATTCCAGATGTTCCAGCTTTTCTAAGGTGTGCTCCAATTGCGAAATGTATCGATCGTAGGGAACTGGGTCACATCCCAGGACGGAATAGCGCATTCGAGTTTCATCCTTGAAAAGAAACATGAAAAGCGGAACTCTACTTGTAAAAACAAACTGTGATTCCAGCCATAAGAAAAATGACTCACATTGTAAGTGTTAGGCTTTGCATTTATCCGCCAATTGAAGTATTTGAAACAAATATCAGTCAATACTTTATCATAAGCATCCTTCTGAAATGACTTATCGTTTGACTTTGAAAAGCAGCAAGCATAAAGCAGTGGAAACGATTACGTCAGCATCCTTGAGCTCTCCGAGTTTCTGGGCTTCCATTCCAAACACTTTTGTCGCTGAACTGGAGAACATTGTCACCCATAGAGAACCAGTTAGGTCCGTGAGTTCAGCCTAAACCACGTGTGATTACAGCAGCAAACCCTTTTCAGTTTTGTCAAAATTAAAAGAACACTCCTACGTATGAATATCGGACATAATTCGACGAAAGGATAGTGAACAGATACTCCGCAGGGTGAATATCGGTCGAGGAAATCCTCGACAGGGGGGTCGTACCTGTTGGGCTGGTCCATGGGGGGTCGTACTCTTGGGGTCAGTAACAGAAGTGGTATCATGGTGCAGATAGGTAATAGGGTATAGCGCAGCAGAAAATGAAATCCGAAAAAAAAAAAACATGATATTAAATTTTCTTTGCAGGTTCAGTCGCTCCATTCCTCCACCTTCATGAGAAGGGCGTATTTGAAGGCAGTACAAAGAATGAAAGTGCATCCCCGCAAAGAAGACTGCCACATGTGCGCACGCGCTGCAAAGGCACCTCCTCCGCCTATCACTCGCTCCTTCTCCCTTAATACCTCGCTGAGAATGACGCTGTTGTTAGGGACCCTGTCGGAAAAACGACAACCGTGAAGAAAAAGCGCTGGGCAAATGAAGTTGTTTTTAGGTTACAGGAATAGCACAACACACTATGTCTACTACAATACAGTTTCGTTCGAAGGTCCCCATCATATAACACCTTTCAATCGATTCTGCAACTGTGAGTGGAGGAGGGATGCATGGCTTATACCAATACCAAATCGGATGATGACGATTGCTCCTATTCTTATTGTTTGCGTTCAAAGATATTGTTCTAGACACATTCCGAGTGTTGCCAACGAGTCACACTTGCAATGGTGAATGAGGGAGCGGATTTCCAGGTGGCCGGATCCGACCTCGATAGATCCTCGACGCAATTATCTCTTCAACCAAAAAGCTGTAGAAGAAAACTAAACAGACCATCAGGAAGCGCAAACCTTCCGCTTTCCAAAACTATCTTCCCTTTTTCAGGATCTTACAATAAGAGATATATTGCTCTTGAAGTGGCAAAAACTCGCGTGAAAATTTGGCCTCCTCGACATTTACTCGACGAAATTTGACAGACCCTATCTTTCTGCAAGGAAGGCTTCCAGAGCAATTTCGATGCTTGTTGGAAACGCGAAATCCAGCTCTATCTAACTCTACCTCAAGCTGCTTCAAAGGTTGTGAAATGGAGGAATGCAACCTTTTCATCGAGGGTGTAGATTCGGACGTTTTTTTTTTGAAATTTCGGCAAATCTGACCCAGTGACAATCGCGCCGCAGCTGCCGTTGAATCGGCCTTTGATACACTCGGCTGTTTTGATATACTCAAGCAAGAATCAAGATTGAATCGCAACCCCGTGTCTTCAGGATTTCTGTGCGTTTCTGAACGAACCTCGCCTTGAGGTCACACAAAGTTAATGCCTCTTTCCTCGAGTCGATATTTCAGTATGTACACAAAAGTATGCAGCGATGGAAGACGTGCATAGATGACAAGATGAAGCGTCCTTAGCATTATTTTGCAGAATTTTTTTGATTTGTTTTGCAGGATTTATTTTAATTGAATTAATTTGCTCTGTTAGAGGGGGTCGTGCCAGGATCTCGATTTCGGGGGGGGGGGTCGTACCTCTGCGACCACGTACTCGACACGATTTTCACCCTGGTCCACTCACCAGACCCAAGTGATTCATTCCGATGGAGCTACATGGTTCAAGTAAGGAATTGGCCATAGGCTTTCGCAATTTCTTATATGCTTTTTAAGTTGAAGGTCTATTGAGGAATTTTGCATCTCACCTTTGGTCAAAGTTTCACGGGCGTTGTCATATTTTGAAGGCACATTCCCTGATGACACGATATAGGAGGTGGTACTTTAAATGAGAGACTGTATGTTTATGGTGTGCAATGTATAAAGAAACAACGGAATCGCGACACAGAACAAGAGGCAGGGGCGGAGATTAGTGTTCGTGGCTCGATGCCGCCATTGATGAGCCTGGTACTGCTGCAGTTATGCCATTATCACCTTTCTCCAAATATATTAGCAGATATCATGCGATTATAGCGAAACATTTTCTTGAGAATTGAAGCAAGAATTGCTGTCACTTCTCAAGAATATGCTTTTGGACCATACGCTGACTCTGGGTCTGGTGAGTGGGAAGTATCTGTCACTCCTTCGATTGAATTATGTCGATATCTGATTCATAAATGTTCTTTTAATTTTGACAAAACTGAAAAGGGTTTGCTGCTGTAATCACACGTGGTTTAGGCTGAACTCACGGACCTAACTGGTTCTCTATGGGTGACAATGTTCTCCAGTTCAGCGACAAAAGTGTTTGGAATGGAAGCCCAGAAACTCGGAGAGCTCAAGGATGCTGACGTAATCGTTTCCACTGCTTTATGCTTGCTGCTTTTCAAAGTCAAACGATAAGTCATTTCAGAAGGATGCTTATGATAAAGTATTGACTGATATTTGTTTCAAATACTTCAATTGGCGGATAAATGCGAAGCCTAACACTTACAATGTGAGTCATTTTTCTTATGGCTGGAATCACAACTTTGTTTTTATAAGTAGAGTTCCGCTTTTCATGTTTCTTTTCAAGGATGAAACTCGAATGCGTTATTCCGTCCTGGGATGTGACCCAGTTCCCTACGATCGATACATTTCGCAATTGGAGCACACCTTAGAAAAGCTGGAACATCTGGAATGTTGAAAACTTTGATATTTACAAGGACATACCGGTGAAATTCACAATGATTCCATTCTCACTCATCTGCGTCTGCGCAGTTTCTTGTTCTTCTCCGGTCTTGTTGCGATATATGCGGTAGTTTCGTTACGATCTCCTCTATAGTGACGTGTTTGATGCTTCACATTGGCTTACATTGGGAAGGTGTTTCACTTTCAAATAAAGTCCTTTTGTTTCGAGCGGGTTCGCTGTTAAGGTCAGTTACCAAAGCCATATTTGTCTTTTACTTTGTGTACATTACCATATACCCTCGCCTTCAAATAACCAGAAATTGTGCAATTGCAGAAATTGACGT